CGGAGCCCCGGGCCGGGCGGCGGCGGGACGGCGGGCCCCGCGGTCTGATGGCATTTGCTCACGCTGTTGGTGCGCGTTACTTAACGGGCTCGCGTCTGTGTGTGGGTGAAAAGCATTGCCTTGCGTGTGCTCGGCTGTTCTGTGTTTGGTACCTTCCCCTACTTTTCTTCTTCTGATTTGCAAGAGGACACCGAGTCTGGGAGGCAGCGCCTCTTCGCCCGCGAAGTAACTTCGCTAAGACAAAACACCCAACTTGTTTTCAAGAAGGTGATCTCGTAATGGCTTCCTCTAGCCAAGTAGGCCAAGTGGAACACAATGCCGAAAGTTGCAGATTGCCCTGTTGAGCTTCAGTACGATGTAATTGCGGTGTTAGGCAAAAAAAACACTCATTTGTGACGTTTCCAATTATGGGATTTTAAAAATTCTTGCCTTTTAAATTTGGGGTGTCATCAAAAATGGAGAGGTGAAATACTTTGTTCTCAGTAGTTTTATTCTTTTGGAGGTAGTTGAGCTAGTCAAGTCCTTAAGAAATTCAACTAAATTAAACAATCACTATAGATTTTCTTCCAGACTCCTTTACCTCCTTTAGGCAAAGAATTGTTTGTGGATTCCTAGGCTTTTTGGTTCCTACCACTAAACTATTGAAGGACAAAAGTGGGAGGACTGTTTACTACTCTGGTATTATATTGAAAATTTCTTTTTAGTTAGTATAAAAATGAAGATTGCCCCCTACACCCCTGAAAAATATTTTGAGCACTTGCAAGGGCAATGGTAGATCTACTTGATAACTGAATTATGTTTAAAAAAAAGTGGTAAGATTTATTTATTTTTTTGTTTTTTTTTGGGTCCGGTCCTGGGGCCTGAACTCTCTAGGCCTGGGCGCTGTCCCTCAGCTCTTCAGCTCAAGGCTAGCATTCTACCACTTGAGCCACAGCACCACTTCCGACTTTTTTCTTTTTGTTTATGTGGTGCTGAGGAATCGAACCCAGGGCCTCAGGCATGCAAGGCAAGCGCTGTACCACTGAGCCACCTTCCCAGCCCGATTTTTTATTTTTGTAGGTGAGGATTTGATTAGTGAGTGATTTCAGTAAAGAAAATTGAGATATAACATCTGTCTAACTAATGTTGATACTGGGCACTGTTCCTCAGCTGTTTTGCTGAAGGCTGGCATTCTTATTACTGGAGTCACAGCTCCACTCTGGCTTTTTGGTGGTTAATTGAAGATACAAGTCTCTTGCCCTTTTCTGCTTTGGGCTAGTTTCCAATCAAGATTTATGATCTCAGCCTCTTGAGTAGGTAGGATTACAGGTGAAACCTTCCCTAGTTTGTATAATTTCTTTTTTTAAAATTTTTTGTCAGTGTGGACCTTGAACTCTGGGTCTGGGCGCTGTCCCTCAGCTCTTCAACTTAAGACTAGTGCTACTTGAGTCATAGAGCCACTTCTGGCCTTTTCTGCTTATGTGGTGCTGAGGAATCCAGGGCCTCAGGCTTGCAAGTCAAGGACTCTACCACTGAGCCACCTTCCCAGCACCCCCCCTTTTTTTTTCTGTGCCTGTCCTGGGTCTTGAACTAAGGGACTAGGCATTGTCTTTGAGTTTCTTTTGCTCAAGGCTAGTGCTCTACCATTTGAGCTATAGCTCCACTTCCTCCTTTTTAGTAGTTTAGTGGAGATGAGAGGCGTACGGTGACTTTTGGTGGCTTTGAACTGGGATCTTCAGATTGTAGCCTCTTGAGTGACTAGGATTGCCTGTGTGAGCTGCCAGCCCCCTGGCTTATCTATTGCTTTTATTGTTGTTGTTGGTCGATGGGCCTGCACTCTGGGCCTGGGCGCTGTCCCTCAGCTCTTCAGCTCAAGGCTAGCACTCTACCACTTGAGCTAGAGCCACAGTGCCACTTCTGTTTTTTTTTTTTATGTGATTAACTGGAGATGAGTCTCAGGGACTTTCTTGCCCAGGATGACTTTGAACTTTGATCCTCAGATCTCAGCCTCCAGAGTAGCTAGGATTATAGGCATGAGCTGAGCCCTTGGACCCATCCTATTCTTGATCTTGATCATATTCAACCTTGAGTATCCAGAGTTTGTTGTTAGTAGTTAATGAGTCTTACTGAATTTTAGAGATTGTTTTCAATAAACAGTTGTTTTTGGTCATGAGGAACTTGAATGATGCTTTTGGTTTTCCTCTTAGAGTTGGTTTTAACAGGTGCTCTTTTGTTTGTTCTTTATTCAGAACGCAATTATGGCTACCCAAGTGATGGGCCAGTCTTCTGGAGGAGGAGGTTTGTTCACCAACAGTGGCAACATGGGCATGGCCTTAACTAACGACATGTATGACTTGCATGACCTCTCCAAAGCTGAGCTGGCTGCCCCTCAGCTTATCATGTTAGCAAACGTAGCCTTAACTGGGGAAGTCAATGGCAGCTGCTGTGATTATCTGGTTGGAGAAGAGAGACAGATGGCAGAATTGATGCCTGTTGGGGATAACAACTTTTCAGATAGTGATGGAGAAGGACTTGAGGAATCTGCTGTAATGAAAGGTGAAGCTGATGGGTTAGGAAGCATGGAACTGAGAAGTATGGAGCTTAGTGTTGCAGAACCACAGCCTGTCTTTGAGGCCTCATCAGCTGCCCCTGAAGTCTACAGCTCCACTAAAGATCTTCCTCCTGAAACATCTGGAGCAGAGGACAAATGCAAGAACTCGAAGAGCAAACCCTTTCGCTGTAAGCCATGCCAGTATGAAGCAGAATCTGAGGAGCAGTTTGTGCACCATATCAGAGTCCATAGTGCCAAGAAGTTTTTTGTGGAAGAAAGTGCAGAGAAGCAAGCCAAAGCCAGGGAATCTGGCTCTTCCACTCCAGAAGAGGGAGATTTCTCAAAGGGCCCCATTCGATGTGACCGCTGTGGCTATAATACCAATCGATACGATCATTATACTGCACACTTGAAACACCACACTCGGGCTGGGGATAATGAGCGTGTCTACAAGTGCATCATTTGTACTTATACGACAGTAAGCGAGTATCACTGGAGGAAACACTTAAGAAACCATTTCCCAAGGAAAGTGTACACATGTGGCAAATGCAACTACTTTTCTGACAGAAAAAACAATTATGTCCAACATGTTCGGACTCATACAGGTAAGGGAAGCTTTAGTCCATTAAGTTCTATTCTCACTTCTGATTTCTGGTCAGCTTTACTTAAATAGTGCTTCAAAGGGTCTAGATTCCATTACTTACTATTGTGGTGATGTTGGACCTCTTTGTGCTCCATTTTCTTCATGGAGTAGACCATACATTTGTTTGGGGGATTCAATAAAGAAATGAAACATGGGGAGCCCTGAATTATTTAAAAAAACAGCCACAAGAAGCCTGGCCTTGGTGGCTCACACTTGTGATCTTAGTTACTTAAGAGGCTGAGAATTGAGGTTTGAAGGCAGTCTGGGCAGACAAATCTGAGAGACTTTTTTTGTTGGTCGTGGGGCTTGAACTCTGGGCTTGGGCACTGTCCCTTGAGCTCTTCAGCTCAAGGCAAGGGTTCTATTGCTTGAGCCACAACACTACTTCTGGTTTTTTAGTGGTTTATTGGAGATAAGAGTCTCATGGTGGGGGGATGGGAAGGGGAAACAAAGGAAGAGGCAACAATGCTTGTTAAGAAATGTACTCATTACCTTGCCCAGGTAATTGTAACTCCTCTGTACGGTATTTTCACAATAAAAAAAATAAAATACAATTAAAAAAAAAGTCTCATGGACTTTCCTGCCCAGGCCAGCTTTAACTGCGATCCTCAGATCTCAGCCTCCTGAGTAGCTAGGATTACAGGCATGAGGCTCCTGTGCCTGGCTATTTAAGAGACTCTTACTTAGAGTTAACCAGCTAAAAGCTGGAACTTCAGGTGTGACACATATGGTACAGCACAAGTTACATGAGAATCTGAGCTATAGTACCAGCTCAGAAATAAGAACAGACATAAATCTTTTCAGTCCTGGGGATTGCACTCAGGACCTGGGAGCTGTCTCTGATTTTTTTTTTCTTCTTAAGGCTAGGACTACCACTTGAGCCAAAGCTCCAGTTCAGCTATTTTTGATGGTTAATTGGAAATCTGTCTCATTTCCCTTTCGTGTCTTTGCTGGCTTTGAACTGTGATCCTAAGATCTTAGCTTCCTAAGTAGGCTGGATTACATTCACAAACCACCAGTGCCTGGCTTGTCCATAAGACATCTTACTAGTGTGCTTCCTCAAATATGTACTGTAACATCTTACGATATTAGATAGATTGCATGTCCCAAAATTTGACTGCTTTTAAGTTTGTGGATCTATGTGACAATGACTACTAATACGTACTGTAGTTTCACAGTGGAATTGAGAGCTTATTTATTTATTTATTTTGCCAGTCCTGAGACTTGAACTCCGGGCATGGGCACTGTCCTTGAGCTTCTTTTTGCTCAAGGCTAACACTTTACCACTTGAGCCACAGTACTACTTCTGGCTTTTTATGTTTATGTGGTACTGAGGAATCAAACCCAGGGCTTCATGTATGCTAGGCAAGCACTCTACCACTAACTCACATTCCTAGTTCCAGGAGAGCTTAGACAGACAGGAAAACCCAATGATGAATCTTACATAGTGCATTTAATAGAGCACTCAAGCTTAAAACACTTGATTTATGGCATAGTCTCTAAGTGGAACAACTTGTCTTTCTCATCATATCATAGAAATGTGAGAAGTTAGTTTGGAAAGAGAGTGGAATTACCACTCATCCAAGCCAGTTACCTAAAAAAGCACACATGTGGAATACAGAATCCCTTTTCTGACAAGAAACAATTATGTTTAGCATATTCCAGTGCACATAGGTCAAAGAGGACCTATGTAATCCATAAGTACAACTATGTAATCCATATGTACAACTCTGTCAAGAACTGAGGGTTGTTAGAGGGTGGAGCCCAACTGTAGATCACATGCCTGTGGCCCTGGGGTCTACTCCTGGAACCAAAAGGAAACATTTTGGAACTTGTAAGTATATGAAAAATTATAAAGAAAAAAGGAAATGTCATTTTTCAGGAAAATGGATGTACTTGGAGAACCTCAGTGTAGTGAGCCAAATTCAAGTTAAATTGTGTGTTTTCACTCATATGCAGAACCTAGATTTTAAGATATACATAATCATGGACATGTACATATATATAGATCTATATGCATAAATGTATATGTGTTAAATATATGTATATAATGTGTTATATATAGATCACACACATAACTAATGATAAGACTGTAAATGGAAGGAGGAGTCTGGTACTGGTGGCTCTGGCATGTAATCCTAGCTACTCAAGGGGCTGAGTTCTGATGATCGAGATTTGAAGCCAGGCTGGACAGGAAAGTTTCTACTAGACTTTTTTTTTTTTTGCCAGTCCTGGAGCTTGAACTCGGTCTGGGCACTGTCCCTGAGCTTCTTTGCTGGAAGCTAGCACTCTACCATTTGAGCCATAATACCACTTCCAGCTTTTTATGTTTATGTTGTAGTGAGGAATCAAACCCAGGACTTCATACAAGCTAGGCAAGCATTCTACCACTAAGCCACATTCTCTAAGCCCTCTATAAGACCCTTGTCTCTAGTAGGGAATGTAGCTTAGTGGTAGAGTGCTTGCCAATAGCATGCATGAAGCCCTGGGTTGGAGTCTTCAGTACCAAATAAACAGAAAAAGTCTGGCAAAAAACAAAAAAAAAACCCACAAAAACCTCTTTGTCTCTGGGCTGGGAAGGTGGGTCAGTGGTAGAGTGCTTGCCTTGTATGCATGAGGCCCTAGGTTCAATTCCTCAGCACCACATAAGAAAAAGCTGGAAGTGACACTGTGGCTCAAGTGGTAGAGCTCTAGCCTAAGCTGAGGAGCTGAGGGACAGCGCCCAAGCCCAGAGTTGAGGCCAAAACAAAACAAAAAAACCTTTGTCTCCATTAAGCTACCAAAAAAAACCTGGAAGTAGAGCTGTGGCTCAAGTGATAGAGTACCAGCTAAGGGACAGAATCCAGGCCCAGAAAAACAAAAACCCTCATCAGCCAAACCTGGGATGGTAGGAGAGAGAAAAAGATGGAGGGTAAATAAGTTAGAAATATTCTGCAAATATGTATGAAGATGATTTAAGGAACTTCTCTGAAAGCTGTTAATCACTAGGCAGTGGGTGGGAGTTAGTACCTTGTGGGTGAATAACGTGGATGTGGTCTAGGTAGTTTGTTCACATGTATAAAAATAGAACAATGAAACCTGATGAGATTTTTTTTGTTGTTGTTGGTCGTGGGGCCTGAACTCTGGGCCTGGGTGCTGTCCCTCAGCTCTTCAGCTCAAGGCTAGGGCCCTACCACTTGAGCCTACAGCGCCACTTCCGGCCCTTTCTGCTTATGTGGTGCTAAGGAATCGAACCCAGGGCCTCATGCATACTAGCAAGCACTCTACCACTAAGCCATATTCCCAGCCCTTGAGATTATTTTGAGAGGAGTGTGATAAGAGAAAGGATACAGGGTGAGGGTGAGTGTATACATTGTATGCATGTATGGAAATTTAACTGTGAAACTCCATTTGTACAACAAATGTAATCTAATTTAAACTGAAAAATTTGGAGTACTTGTCTAGCAAGCGTAAAGCCCAGAGTTCAAGCATCAGTACTGATCAAAACAACAAAAAAACCCCTCAAAACAACAAAATTATTACAATTTCAGACTAAGAACAAAAGTGAAGACAAATTGTCAATATCAGGAATGAGAAGGAATATTACCAAACCCTACAGGGATTAAAAGGATAAATAAGCAAAGTAAGATAATTGTGTCAGATCATAGATTGAGTTCTAGTATGTGTATGTTCCCATTTTACATGTAGACTTATCTGAATATTCGCCCTCAACCATTTTGTTTCTTTTCTGAGGGTTGGTTTTTATTTATTTTTGGTGCCAATACTGGGGTTTAAAATCAGGGTCTGGTGCTGTCCCTGAGCTTTTTCACTTAAGGCTAACACTCTATCATTTGAGCCTCACCTCCATTTCTGGCATTTTGATGGTCAATTGAAGATAAGAGGCAGGGGACTTTCCTGCCTGGACTGGCTTTGAACTGTGATCTTCAGATCTCAGCCTCCCGAGTAGCTAGAATTATAGGTGTGAGTTTTTGTTTTTGTTTGCTCAAGTTTTGAGGCTTCACCTCAGGTTGTGTGACTGTCCTTGAGATTTTATGCTCAAAATTGGTGTTCTACCTACTACTTGAGCCACAGCTCCAGTTCTGGCTTCTTTCAGAGATGAGTGTTTCATGGACTTTCTTGCCTTGGACTGGCTTTGAACTGATCATTAGATCTCAATTTTCTGAATAGGTAGAATAGCTAGGATTATAGGTATGAGCCTACTAGTCCTTTTTTTTTTTTTGGGTCCCGTCGTGGGGCCTGAACTCTGGGCCTGGGCGCTGTCCCTCAGCTCTTCAAGGCTAGCACTCTACCACTTCAGCCACAGTGCACTTCCTGCTTTTTTCTTTTTGCTTATGTGGTGCTGAGGAATTAAACCCAGGGCCTCATGCATGCAAGGCAAGCTCTCTACCTTCCCAGCCCCCAGCTTTTTTCTTTTTGCTATTGGTGCTTAGGAATTGAACCCAGGGCCTCATGCATGCAAGGCAAGTGCTGTACCACTGAGCCACCTTCCCAGCCTTGGCTTTTTTCTTTTTGCTTATGTGGTGCTGAGGAATCGAACCCAGGGTCTCATGCATGCAAGGCAAGCGCTCTACCACTGAGCCACCTTCCCAGCCCCCCCAGGGTGGTTTTTATTCAGTGTGTAGAAGCTTTTCATAGTCAGCCTCTACTCTGATTTTTTTTTTTTTAATTTTCATTTATTTTTTGGGTCCGGTCGTAGGCCTGAACTCTGGGCCTGAGGGCTGTCCCTCAGCTCTTCAAGACTAGTGCTCTACCACTTGAGCCACAGAGCCACTTTTGGCTTTTTCTGCTTATGTGGTGCTGAAGAATCAAACCCAGGACCTCATGCATGCAAGGCAAGCACTCTACCACTGAGACACCTTCCCACTTTTTTTTTTCCAGTCTTGGGGCTTGAACTCAGGGCCTGAGCACTGTCTCTGAGTTTTTTTGTTTTTGTTTTTTTTGGTTGTGGGGCTTGAACTCTAG